ATACGCGTCAATGCATCAATGACAGCGAAAAGCGTGTCAAAAGGGGATAGGTTGTTGAATTTTATTCGGAGTTAAATGGACGAACGCGGCCGTATCGATCTCTACGAAAGCCTCGATCGTCGCTTTCATCCGTAGCTCCGTTGTTTTAAGGAGGATGGAGCGATTTGTGTAAGCTGCTTACGGCGAGTGCCATCTCAGAGACGACGTGGCGTTTCAGTTTCATTGAAAAACGGCGGATCGTTGATTGTGAATAACGGCTACGGCTTACCACTCGTACGAAACCCTTCTTCGTGGATGGTAGAAACAAACAGGATTATTCATCCGAAGCAAAACATAAATCTTTCTTTCAAAGATACATATGACGATATCAAGAGAGAAAACAGATAATATACGTATCAAACAATTTATTGCGTGTAAAATACATGTCTTTTCTTGTATTATTTTCATTCCAAAGATGTTCGAGATTACACTCCGATGCTTTTAGAGTAGAACGTTCTAGCTTTCTATTTTTGTATCCTGAAAATGAAAAAGAGGATAATACGATAAAGTACGTATGGAAGTGGAGACTTTAGATAGTTTAAAATCAGAAGGAAGTAGAAGAAACGAAGCAAGTATATAGATTATTTGAAAATGTATCCAAAATCTGTAGTTCTTCCTTTACAAGGATAAATTAAACATAATTCTTGCATTACGATTGCGGTTAATAATACTACAATTTTCAGATAATGTTAACGAGAACGTACGTCTATCGTACTTGAGATACATTGAGTTTATCGTTGGATTTGTTAAACATATCAACTTCACTTGATTTAGTAATTACTTAGTTAGTAATTACTTCACTTGAATACGTTAGACTTGAAGACCTATTTCGTTCTCGATATAAGAAATTTCTTTGATCTCAAAGAAACACGTTTTCAACGAAGTGAAACGAAAGACTTAACTCGTCGTATTTCCAGGAAATTCTCGTAGCAAAAATTACCTAATCTTCTGTCATTTTTTGTCATTTATGAAATGTTTAAATTCATCCATCAACGATTCGCTGATCGCCCTTCGTTTCTCTGTCGTATTACACCGCTTACAGTAGCATCTTACATTCCAGTTTCGACGCAAGAAACCAACGATTCCAAATTCTAGACAAACCTTCTTTTTCTAATTAATTTAGCACGTAGGTAGCGCATAGGGACAGGCAACAAAAAAAAGAACGAGCGATTAATGGTTCATACATTCCGATTACGGTGTAGGGAGACTTTTGTACATTCGTGTAAAGTATCTTGATGCCAGTTTAGATACCGCCTAAAATAAGTTTTCCGAGTGTATGTGTGAGAGTAAGTATCAGTTTCAGAGTGTAAGTTCTTTAGAATCACGAATTCTCTAACAGAATTCGTGTAACCCTTCGTTGTCTGACGATTCGCTGATGGAAATTTCGGAAGGAGAACTTGGTGGTAATCTGAAAACTAGGCAATTACGAAATTGCATAATCAATTCGTTGTTTTATTTGGGAATAAATAAAATATAATAAAACTCCAATTTATTTGCAAGATAAAATTTGGAAATGTGACAAAGATGTCACATTTTTGATGATAAAAATTGTTTTTTAGATATGTAGAAAGTGTATTATACGTACAGTACATATCATTATGAATTCGATATCAGCCTAAACGATTAAGATTAACGAACAGTTCTCCTGTAACAAAAGACAATAAAGGGTTAATAATCAAGATTACAGTGAAGAGCGCAATCTGCAGGTGTCTGCGCGTGCCAACGAAATCTTAAATACCGCGAGGAACATTGTACAATATCACGATATCTCGATCGTCATCGATTTCCTCATCAATCACAGCCAGCATCATTAGAAGATTTATCGTTGAAAGAATGAGCCATGTTTCCTGAGAAATTCATCCAGACAATATAGAATAACAGTTAGCTCAGTCTAATCCTCATAATGGGTCATTGATTTACCAATAATAAGCATTCATCGAAATTGAAACCAGAGTGTGAGTGCATTTAATAATCTATTAAGCGAATGTTATAAATCGCGAATAATCAATCAGAAAAATATTGCAATAAGCGTTCAATCGAACACGATCGACGATAGCGATTTTCGTTCCGAACGTTTTAAATTTCGCGCCTATTTGCGGCTTGAAATATCGGCTATAGAACGACACCGTAGAAATGTTCCCAGAGAATGAATATATGAGAAGAGAAAGGGAAAATCGACCGATATGGTCGTGATTTCTTCATGGATAATTAAGCAAAAGGGAAATACGTATATATATATATGATTATAAATATAGATTTAAGACGATGTAAAAGTTTATCTTTGACAATGGCGATGAACGAACGAATGAAAATTCAACGAGAACATTTATACAGATATATATATATATATTATAAACATAAATATATATATATATATATGACATTTTCTATATTTGGTAAGGATGTTGCATATCGAACGAACGAGACGAAGACACGATGATGATAAAACGATAAGAGATGTATTATTGGATAGCCGAGCGACGTATGGTCGCACGTTAATTAATGTAATATCGAACGTGCCTTATTTCCTGTATATATACATATATGAATATTATTATCATTATTATTATTATTATCATTATTACCGAACCTCTATCGTAACGTGCAAGTATTTGTGTTGAATAAATCGATGTTGTTTTACGTTAATACCGTGAGGATCGATCATTATTCTTGTCTGTTCACTCGGTCATCCGTTTCTCCCGTTAGGCTGATAGAAAAGTGGTGGGACACGAGAATATTTTGATTTATTGGAAGGATGTTTGAAAATAAAATTAACCTGGACGAAGAGACATGATGAATGTGTATTGTCTATTCTTAGCATCCTTAGGAGGAAGTATTTGCCACTGAAACGAAGAAAGACTCGACCAAGCATATTGAAACATTTTAAAGTTACGTAGATGTTACTATTGCGACGCGTTAGAAGTTGGAAATTTATTGTTTAATAAAATTGTCATCGTTTTCTTAACTTAAAAAAAAAACACACAGATGGAACGTCAGCCATTAACGGAGTAAGCAAGAAAATTTGTGAAAGGAAAGAGAAAGACGATCATAGAAACAGCGATATAGCTTGAATGTAACATTGATGACACTTTTATTATTCAAAACAATCTCTATAATCATATTGTTTCACACATGGGATAACTATATACTGCTAGCTATTGTACTCGATAGTTTCCAATACCAAACGATACTCTTTTCATTTCTGAAACTCGATGTCTTTAAAGTTTAAAGCCTTTGTTTTCCTTTGTGCTCAGTTCGATTCATTGTTATGACGCTATGAATTCCTTTGACGAGCCGCGTAATTGCTCGTGATATTGAATCGAGAGTTCACCATGAAACTCGGTCGTGACATAGTTTCTGATCAACCTTGAACTATTCTGGTCCGACCATAAATTTCCATTTCCACTTGATAAACCCTACGTGCTGGTTATTAATTATTAACAAATCGCTAAACATTTCGAGTCAATACTCGATTAATCACGATTAATCTGTTGGCCCGGTCAAATTTATTATCCCAGTATAAAATTTATTGTCTACAACTGATAGAATCGAATAATAAGGGTTGACATTGATTAATGGCCGAGTAGATTTGAATATTTAAAAATCTTCCTGCATGCAATTTCACGATTACCAAGGATTGCGTGTATCTATCGAGCCATTCACCAATTATCGAGGGCTGCCACGGAAACCAAAACGAAATCGTTCGTTATTTTCGCGCAGGCGTCGTCCGCGTTGCGACGTCTCTCGCCAGGAGAATGTGACCGTCGAAAGCTCTTCCATTTGTTGAGCAATTTTCTTACCATTTCCACCTGCCAAACGCACTAATAAATTATTTATATTTAGTATATTCATTGATACCTAAAATATAATGATATTCGCCTTCCATGAAGGTCACTTGCATCCCCCTTTAACATCAACGAATTTTGAGCCACATAGAAGAATCAGATACACGAAAAATATTCTGAAAACGAAGAATGTCAAGATTATACGATTCTAATATCGTAAAATTCACGACAAATAAATTTTATACACTTCGAAGTATTTGTTATATTACGAGAATGATTTAGATAATTTTTTTTAAGGGCATTTAATCGAATAAGTGAAATAATCGAATTATTGGAGACGTTGGAAAAAATGTTATAGTAGCTTTCAAAAAAGGAAAACTTTAATACGTTAGCAGGTGTCGGTACTTGTCCTTTTTCCCCATCTTTCAGCCGGGATGCCTACTTGTTGCGGGGTCGGCTGTTATTGATTAGTGGAGAAAGAGAGAAGGAACCAGAGGGAGACGAACGTTCCTCCACAGACATGAATGGCTGTGGTCCACAGAGCCAGATTTTGAGCTTGACCCGGATTCGTCACGCTGGAGTTCACGCTACCTTCACTTTCGTTACTCGCGTTTTAAGCATAGCGTGAAAAATCGAGAGTGAACAGTGGCGACCAGCCGAACTCAGCTTCATCGCTATCAAACGACATCAAGGGACGGTATACTTAAGCAACTTCGAGCAAGGAAAAAATATCTCTTTTCAACCGCAACCATCAACCTCAAAAATAAAACCAATTCTCCAAAATAGCCACATCAAAACGTCAAACTAAAGATCAAGTCCTTCAACGCAGAAACATCATTATACAATTTATCTTCTCTCAAAACAGATTCAAATAAAAGCAGAAAATTTTCCAAGGAACAGGTAGAGGCGCCACGCTCAAGGAAACAATTTCCTTGCGAACAAGGCCGTCATCAAATAGGCTAATATCCACGTCTGCCTGTAGGAAATGCAATTAACCCCCCATCGGTCGCGTAATCAACGATCTCAGGATACTGGTAACTAGGTGACATTTAAAAATCCGTGGGAAGAAAGGAGAAGAAGAAAGAAGGGAGAGGTCCTTCGGAGGACCTACGGGTCGCACAGGCGCAGCTGTATTCCAGTCTCACCCCTAAAGAGGGTGTGCGAGTGCGCAATGAGGGTTGGCCTGGCCCGAGGGAACGTAGGCTCGGCGCAGTCGAGTGGCTTTGGCCGAGTATGAGCGGCGTTTTCGCGTTTGTCGCTCGAGTTCCATTCACGAAAACGACCTGTTCGAACAACCACCCCCTCGTGTGCCTGTCGGAGGAAGGGTTAAGGCGTGCTTGAGCCACTTGTGTCGGGTTGAAGTCGGGTTAAACGCGAGAAATCGAGAGACAAGAAGATCGAACGGCGGATACAGGCGTGTCTCTTCCGTACGGTTGCTCGATTTCACGTACCTCGACTGTCAGTAAGGGTACCTGGAAGAGGATAAGGGGTAGCAGAGCCTGGAATAGTTCATTTTGGGTTAACGTACTACCGATTGATATTTTTCTTTTCTTCTGTAAATCGCTGATCGTTTTCTTCGAGTGGAAAGGAGAAAGAGATGCTGTAGCGTGAACACCGTGGTAAACGGGTCGTTATTACGCGTGTATGGTGGATTATGCGTGATCGTAGAAACGAGGAAGTGAGGTAAAAGTGTTTTTTCGGGGCAAAAGCGGGCCGGCGAGCGAGGGGGCTCCGGGACTCGAGCAACAGGTAATTTAAAAGCTGACTCCGCGGGGCACCACTTTCCATTGCGTCGGTGTTGCTTCTGGGTGAAATGTAGTTGATTGCTGTCGCGACGAGATGATGCAATTTACGCGCGCCTTCACCGTTAATGAGACGCGGCTGTTTCTTTGTCGTGGTTGAAAGAACGAGAAAATTTCATTCTTCCTTTGCGTTTCTTTCTCGTAGCTGAAGAAGAGACAACATTTTATTCGTTGTTATATCTGGGTTTATTTGCTTGTGGCGTTTTTAACGTTTCCAGTTATTTTGGTTTTCTTATAATGTACAGTATTTCTCCAGAATATTCTTCGGTGTGGATGCAGAATTTTGTTTTTGTATTTGTCGTGGCTTGTACGAATTCTATTTAATCATTGGAAATTAGTAGGTTTCTGAACCTAAAAAACCATTAGTATGAATTTGTACATAGTTCTACATATACATTAATAACAGTAATAAACAAAAATATTTTATCTAAATATATAGATCAAATTACATGTACTATAAAAAGGGAACTATATTCTTGAATGTTTGAAATTTCAGTTCGCTTTTTGGCTATCAACGTGCCAATCAAATTCCCCGAGTCTGAACACCTACATTGCGTAAATAATTCGCGTTGCTTAAAGGTCGAACGTAAATGAAAGTATATCGCTGACGTGGGACGAGGATTAAACGGGTCTCCTGCTGCAAGTAGGTTAACTACATCGTAGATAACAGGGCTCATTACACGGAAGGGTAGTTAAGTCTTTCGTCAGGGGGTGATTTATCGACGATATAGCAGATTTCCCTACCGGATAAAAGAGAGTGCATTTCGTCCATTAAAGCGTGTTCCCGTGTCGCATTTTCTTCAGAAACTCCTCACGCGCTCGCCTCGCTGACTGCATTAAGGCCATTCATGCGGGAATTTGTGCTTCTTACAGTAATCTTCCTTTTTACAACTGTCCATCACATTTTACACTTCCGTTCAAGAAGTATACAAAGAAAATTAATTATCGAAATGATTATTTACCTAAACAAATTAAATGAAGTAAATGAATTTCACTGAAAGGTTTTTACCTTCTCTCTAAAAAGATATTTTCTTATTTTTCCTAAACATTTGGAACAATTAAATAAATACGTTTAAATAAATGAAATAATTTCTCGGTAATGTTTAATGAAAAAGTCGCTTACGAAGATCGAATTTCAGTAATATCGAAATACCTAACTGGATGAGTATCTGACATTTTTCAGAGCGTTATTATTAAATCGAGAATTAATTGCAACGAAACAGGACAGCATTGAATTAAGGCTAAATATTTGGCGCGGCGTTTCGATTCTTAATGAAGAATTCCTACGGTGTAGATTGCACATACTCGATTATTATTTATAAAATCAAGTGTTTATGTCTCAAACATTCCATCGATCTCTATATATATGAATCGATATCAGTCGAATTCGTACACGATTCCTCTATCCACTTTTAAAGAAACACATAGAGTGTTTCCATTCTTCGTGAGTACGTAGGAATCTTATAAATCCGATTTTTATTTATATCACGCTTTGCTAATAATAGCTGTGCGATAGTTGTTTGATCGAACTAGACGTGACTCGAATGATAATGTTAGATGTTCTGGAAAATAAATGCACCCTTGCTATGGTGTTGTATTGACGGAGTAGCTGTGTGATTACAGGGACAAGTAACCTGATGGAAACTCGATATAGGAAGTTAAATCGTGTGAATATGATATCGACAAGTTGCAAATATTTACTTTCTCGCAGTGAAAATAGTTTCAAATATTCCGTCGTTTAATATAAAGCGAAAATGTGAGACAGTTTGCTGGAAGTCGTCCATATGGTTTCCATTATAGTTTGTTATTTCACTGCGAACGTGGATAATTCATGGCGGATCTCTGTTAACGAGCAATTACGCTTGTCGAAGCTTTTAGTTTCAAGACAATGTTTTTATTGGAAACCAGACTTTAATGTAGTAGGTAGATATAAGCTGTGTATAAAAATGCAAAACTCACGCGGAAGTAAAGCGTATCACACGTTAGCTGAAGCTTGTTTATCATTCGCAAAGTTGTTCAGAATATATCAGCAAACTTTCTCATAGTCATCCAAATATATCTCTCCTAACACTTAGAAAGCTTTCGTTTTATCACGTAGAATATATTACAACGCGTGTTCGAATTCAAGTTTCAATCATTTTATTCTAAAATACTAGAGATGCCATATTTCCATAATAAAATTCTTCTATGTCTTTATATCGTTTTGTTTTTTTTTTTTTTCGTTGTGTGAAACAAGAAAAAAAAAAGGAATTTCAAGACGAAAGGAAGGAGGAAATTACACTTTATGAAATTTTTTAATGGAACATGCGTTACATGAAATGTTTTCCAGGAAAATATCAGCTCGATGCCGGAGGCGTCAGGGTCAGAAGTGGCCGATGAGTCGGATTATTCGATTTTCGAGAATAAGACCGGCTTGGCCGAGGACATGAAGTTTCTGGCTAGTATGCCGGAACTATGCGACGTGACCTTCCTCGTCGGTGAAACAAAAGAGCCCATTTGCGCTGTGAAGGCTGTTTTAGCAGCCAGAAGTAGGTTCGTATCGCGATTAATGCTACGATCAATTTCTTTCTTTCGTGCAAAGGTAATCTTGATGTGTAAGTAGTACGTTTTATTACAATAACAACACTCTTTTAATATTATTTATTACGACAGTTAAAAAGATTGTTATTACGATATTTAAATAAATATAAATACAGTAAAGATGAAATAATGTATTCTTTTATTTCTATAGGGTGTTTCAAAAGATGTTTTACCAAGCACCCAGTCCACAGCGTAAAAAGGAACCACCGCCGAAGGAAAACAAGATCCGACTATTCCTGAAAAGAAGCTCGGAGCCACTGCTGAATCTGCAAAACGCGGCGCAACAGGTAATCGCGGTCATTACAGAAAAATCGTTTTCTCAATACCTCCTCTAATTCTTTCACTATATTATCAGAAAAGATAGAAATAGCAAGCTAAAAATAAAATCAAGCCGATCAAACGTGGGCATCTTTGAACTTATTTGTTACAAACAAGATGGATGAAACACCCACGCGAATGTTGGAATATTACAAATTTAGTGCTTGCCTTCCTTCGCTTCCATATTAAATTTCTAATCGATAAACTCTCATTTTCGAAACTTTCAATCTGAAATCTATACTCTACACGATTAATCTTTGAAATTGGTTGCTACAACCAATCGATTTACTGCAATTGAATTAAAAAAAGAAGCATTTTAAAGAACATTTAAACGAATTGTGTTCGAACCTCGTCGTTAAAATGATAGAAATAGTAAGTGTGCGTTTGTTGTGTGCCGTGTAGCGGTCAGGGTTCGCGCAGCAGTTGGCTCCCATACAAGAGGTACTATTATAACGTCACTTCTCTATACGATTTTGCATCCTGAGGTCCTCTTTTTATTTTCCCCTTTCCCTTTCTTTCACTCTATGCTCGTCTCAAGTTTCTGTCTGTTTCTTTTTATTATTTTTTGTTCTTTTTCTGTTCTGAAGCATTACAATAACGAGAAGGATCCTGAATAACGATGAATCCTCGATTCGAAAAGTTTCACCGAGAGAAATTCTATCTCTTAAGAATTGTTAGTTAGACGGATTTGGTCTGTTTCTCGGTGTGTGTTAGACTTCGTCAAGCGAATAATCTTCGCGAAGTTAGAATTAATCTGTACGATTGCATGAAACATTGACGCGTTGGTAATGTGAAGTCAAACTGATACGTTTTACAAAAATGTTGTCATTTTATATCATAGTAGATGATTAATGTCCGATTCTTTAGAAAGTAAACGATTAATCTTCATAGAATCAATTAATTTGATTTCTGTATTGCTCGATCAATAATGTAGGAAACTTTTTACTTTTTAAGTATCTATCATATATCTTCACGATACTAATGCGCTGTGGTACTATTAATTTTTTTCCTTTTTTTTTTTTTTACTGAAAGATATAGAAATATGAACTTCATTATTCTTCGAAAGGGTCTCAATTTTATTGTCTCAGGATACCAGATTTTACCGTGGAAGATCACTTTACGGACATCTTTTAAAAATAGTCCTTAGAACTTTTGACTTTATATTTTCTACGAGTACAAAAATAGTTATTTTCTTAGCTCTCAAGAACAATTCTAAGATATTTCTATAATCATAAGTATACTATTCTCAAAGAAATGGTTTAAATCAATACCATAAATAGAGTATGCGAAGTAGGCATTAAAATTCACAACCACGTAGACCTTTGATCTTCTACTATGTGAAAGTTTAGGGCTTCGATGCATAGGATGCTCACTAATCTCCTAATTGCAATCTCAACTGTTATATTTTTTCTGTATTATATCGCATTACGTTGCATTACGTGAAACTATGTATTCGCATATGTTTCTATATATTTTTAAGGTTAAAAAGGGACTTCCTGTTTATTTGAATAAATTAAACGAAATGAAATTAAAATACATAAGAAAAATCAGAAATTTATCGAGACACAATCGACGTCCTTTTATCAACCCTTGTTCGTCAATCTGGTATCCTAATTTCATTTGTAAGCGATTACCCATACGATGCATCCAGCCCAATTCAGTCAGTTGTTAACGAGGCATTCATCGTTCCAGTCTATCTCTTTCAGTCGGCATGCAAGTTTTAAATCGACTATACGGTCTAAGTCTGGAGAATCGTGAATATAGACTGCTGTCCTTCTTACATCGGCACATTTGCAATAACTGTAGACTCGCACGACTGCAATCAAAATCCTCTGTTATTCGAGGACGGCACAATTTGATTCTGTAATTCTGCATCCTACAATTCGTTATGTAGTGGTGAAATTGACGATGATGTATTATAGACGCACAGTAGTTTGCTTATAAGGATATGCAGCAATGCGAACATTCTAGCGGCATCAATACACTGTTTTCAATTTTCATCGATGCTTAAGCGAACAACGATGGACGATCCTTGGAAATATTTAGAACGTAGCAATTTATTAATAATTTGTAGTTGACGATAGTAGGTAATTGTTTAGAAATTCGTCATTGATAATACATCTCTTTTTTAGAAGTAAGAAGTATTTATAATTGTAGTTAGTTAGTTAGTTTGGGACTGAAAATATTTTCTAGCCATCGCTAAATGCACCAAATCGCTTAGCATGAACTTTCGATTTTCAGTCTTTGAATCGCTGTCAATCTTTTCGTTTTTCTAAATACACCACTCTTTGTGATCAATCATAGCCGAATCAACATCAGACCGTAATCATCGAAGAATTCGAGCCCGACGTGTTTCGTCAGCTGATCGAGTACATTCATACTGGATGTGTGACGTTACAACCTAGAACTTTATTAGGTAAGTATTTCGTTCGTCGTATATATCAACGTTCTATGGATTTTGAAGGAAACAATTTCGCCTTAGTAAGCTAATTTTCATTTTAAAGGATTGATGAATGCCGCCGATTATTATGGATTAGAACAACTGAGAAAAGCTTGCACTGGATTCGTACAATGTTGTATAACAGTGGACACTGTGTGCGCTTTATTAGCGTCGGCAGAACGATACATTCAGTACAAGTGTACGAAATCCTTGGTCCATAAGGTGAGATTGTATAGAAATTTACAGATATTCGAGAACGTTCTTTGTAAATTAACATTTTCCCGCTTGAGGAAACGAATGAATTCTTTTTACCGTATAAAAGTACTGATATCTTCTTGTTTCGTGCTTAAAGGTATTCGAATTCGTCGACGAACATGGCAACGAAGTGTTGAATTTAGGATCCTTCACGCTACTTCCCCAACATGTGGTTCGCTTGATCCTGGCAAGAGAAGAGTTACGAGCCGATGAATTCACCAAGTTTCAAGTACGCGAATTTTCGACATTATTTTCATCCTATTGAACCAAGAAATTCCCTATTCGTTATTAATTTTCGTTTGTCTGCTATTTCCTAGAAAATATAATTCCTTTCCCTTCTTAATTTCATAAAACTTTTTCGTCATTTAGTTTCCCATTAAAAAAAAACTCGAATTTCTATTATTATTCTTTTTAATTCTGCATATTTCAACTATTAAAATTCACCGAATATTCGATTATCTTAGGCGGCCTTGATGTGGAGTAAGAAGTATTGCGACAGCAATCAGAATCAAGATCTGAAAGACGTGATTGGCAATTTCCTCGAGTACATTCAGTTCCATAAGATCCCTGCGAACGTGCTAATGAGAGAAGTTCATCCTCTGGACTTGGTGCCTTCGAGGATCATAGTGAACGCGTTGGCCTATCAGGTGCGTGTTATTTCAGTATTGTCAATGAAATTAATTTCTAATTCTTCTTTACGCTTTCTTTCTTCTCATTCTATACAAATATCGAGTTTATTCACAAACTTTAAACATTGTTTCGTAATTTAATTAAAAATCAAAGTATTACATATATTCGAATTTTTATCTCTTAGTATCTACTTTATCGTAATTAGAACATTTTCAAGTTATTGTGCCTTTTAGCCTTCTTAGCTTACTGATTCGTATGTCGCAGACAGAACTCGTGCAAAATGTTTGTTTTAATGTATCATGAAACAGCTTGATCGAGATTACACTGTTGCAAGCAGCACTTGTAGTGTAGCTCCAGGATTGTAGTTTGCGAATTTCTAGCCAAATGAGCTAAAATGTACATTCTCCACTAAGGTAACTGTGGTGTGCTCAGTTATTTCATGTTCGTATAACGCCTCGTCCTAAAAAAAAGACAAGAAATTATGGTCGCAAAGAATTCAAGTATGATTATGCATTTATGATTCTTCTTGTTCCCTTTGATACAACGTACACCCGTTTCTGTCTGTTACTTTATTATCGAAGCATGCAGAAAGTGGAATTATCTCGTTTGAAACGAAAAGATCATCACGTTCGAAAATTTGGTTAAAAATTGTATTATGTACACCTGCGACACAGTGTAACCGTTTGAAAATCCAAGGGTTTCTTTTAAATTTCATTGAAAAATGATTTTCAGTTTTGTATGAGACCATTACACGCATTTCTATCTATTATCTAAAAACATATATATTTTGCTCAATGTATGTTACACTGTTCAGAATAATTGAAAGATTATATATCTAAAGGATACAAGATAATATAGTCTTTAATGTTACATAAGTTTAATAGAAATTTGTGGTTACTGATTGTTGCAATATTTTTGATTATTCTAGAAAGTTTCCTGTTAATTATTCTGGAAAGTGTAAGTCTGCAATATTTAATTGTTTGAACCTTGATATATTCAAATGTTTAATCGAATCGATCTTTAATTATTCGATGTAACCGTTTCGTATCTGTTACGCGTATTTAAAGAAATTATTTTCCCAAGTACATTTGTCTGCTGTCGCACATGTAGCATTTATTCCATTTGCAATAGTTATTTCCTTTCAAATAATTGTTTCCCGAAATTATCGTTTGAAATTAATACGTCTTCTACGTTCAATCAATTACGTGTCATATTTTATATAGTTGTTCTTCACTGAACATTCGATAAAGTGCAGTAGACGTTCGTTTATCGAAAACTGTACAGATATAAACGATCCTTTGCCAATGGATTTATTGAATTCAAATTATCTTACACGGTTATCGCAAATCTTCTAATTGTAAAACATACCGACATTAATTAAATATGAATAGAAATTCCGAGAAATGAAGTCTACTCACGTCCCTCGCTACATCCCTCACACGTTTTATTACAATCTATACATCAATATGAAACAACCTCAATTCACACCCCAATCTTAACCCTTTCGACACGAAGAGCGAACCAGACGATCCGTCCAATAATTTTGCCTATCATTAAGTTTGAAGAATAACAAAATATTTTAAACATCCGTGGAAATGCAAATTAATCCTTTGACTTTGTCTAATTGCTCTATCGATTAAATTTTATTAAATTTTGCTGTGATCCTCTTCAAATAAGAAAAATTGTACTGTAAATTTCTTCGCGGAAGGGTTAACACCTCTAATTTTTGATCGAACTTCACCATGTAGAACCGAGTTCTCTATATTTATCCTTTATTATCCGTCTTGATCGGCGGCTGGATTCTGTAAGTCTCTTAACCAGAGAGTTTGTTGCAGGCAGACCCGGCAAGCGTCGATCCCGGACACCTGTCCCCCCACAGAGTAAAGCACCAGGACCGTAGTTTGTCGGTGCAGTCATCTCTACAGGACCAATTCGGCAGCAACACATCGCTAAGCTCGACTGGGTCTGACGAGGGGTCCGACGAGAAGCAGCATTCAGGTAGCAACTAACCTCCGGCCAC